GGGCTCTGCCTCCCCCCCCCCACGCTCTGCCGGTGCCCCTCACTCCTGACCCGCAGCCCCTGCTATGCCAGCGCTGGGCTCCGCTCCCCCCCCCCCCGCCAGCTCTGCCGGTGCCCCTCACTCCTGACCCGCAGCCCCTGCTATGCCAGCGCTGGGGTCCGTGCCCCCCCCCCCACGCTCTGCCGGTGCCCCTCACTCCCGACCTGCAGGACCCTTCCCTCTTTCACAGCCCTGCTGTTCCCCTGGAGGTGCCCCTCCCCCGTGCTGGGTCCCCTCACCCCCATTCTGCTCTTGGGCCCGGCTTTGACCCCAGCTCTCTCGACTGCCCCGAATGATGCCCCTCCCCCATTGCCAGGCCGGGGGGGGTGTGTCTGGGGAGCCAGCGGCGGGGAGGGGGGTTGACCGAGGGGCTTGGCGGGGCGGGGAACGGAGGCGAAATTCCGGCGCCCCGGGCCTGGCCGGGTTATTAATGGGCCCTTTGTTCGGGCTCCGGCTCAGGGAAAGTGACAAATGGACTCGGCCGCTCGGCTGTGGCTGCGATTGGCCCTGACAGGCTCGTTCATCACCCGGCCCCGCCGGGGGGGTTCCGAACTCAAGCGCGGCTGCCTCCCCTCGCTCCCGGGCCAGCGCCCAGCCTGCTCGTGGGTCGGGGGGTGGGGGGGGGAGGACTCCTGGATCCTAGTCCCAGCTCTGCTGCCCTGCTCTGTGCCTCAGTTTCCCTTGCTGGTGCCCCCACAACCTAACATGCTTTAGGCAGTACGCTGGGGGGGGCAGTGAGCAGAGGTGCAGGCAGGGGGCGACACGCCGCCCCCCCACCCCAAGGCCGGGGCAGGAGCTTTGTGGGCGATGAATGTGGCGCCTGGGGGTGCAGGCACAGGGCCCTGCTCTGGTGCTGGGGGTGGGGGGGGGGCGTGACCCCCCCCCATGACCCTGGGAGTTCATTTGTGGGCGCAGGAGCTGTTGGAAGGTGCTGGGGGGAGGGGGGCTGCTTGCTCCAGCCGGGGGTGGGGCTCTGGGCGGCTCTCCTGGCAGCATGGGCACCCATGGGGCTGGGGGGGGGAGGTCTCCGAACATAACCCCCCCGCCCCTCCCCGCACAGGCCCTGCACTATTAATGTGCCTCTGAAAGGGATGGCTGAATATTTCATGCAGTTCCTTTAAACAGGCCACCTGGGGCCGTGGGCAGTGCCGCTGTGTCCCACGCAGGCTTGGCGCCGAGCCAAGGCCCTGGGTGGTGGGCGACTATCGGCAATGCCAGCTGCCTCCGCGTCCCCCCCATGTTCAGCTGGGTGGGCATCTGTGGGGTGCAGGGGTGAAGCCCCTTTTTTGTATGTGTCTCTTGGCGCGGCTGCTCCTGGGTCCTTGGCATCTGGCGCCGGGCTCCCCTGGCACCCGAGGGCTGGGCACCGCTGGCCTTTGTTTAGCTGAAAGCTGCAAGTGGCTTGTAACCTTGGGGCTCCTGGAGCTTGGGGGGGGCTCCCGGGCTGGGCAGGTGCCCTGGTCCCCCTGAAAGAAGGGCCCTAGCCCGTGTGGGGCAGGCCAGACACCGTGGGCTCCTGTGGTTTTGTGGGAGGCTGGGAGTCAGGACTCCTGGGTTCTGTCCGTGGC